AAGCAGGGTAGGGGGAATGTGCTGGCAATAGGGACTGCTGTTTTAGCAGAGAGCTCAAAGGAGGCATCACTGATATTTGGAGAAAGACCGGAAGGAGGTGGGGAAGTGAGTAATAAAGATATACGGGATGAAGTAGAGCAGAGGCAGCGGGGGAAGATGGTGGCAGCCGTTCCACAGCGGGCCTGGACGGTAGAGCAGCTGCGCAGCGAGCAGCGACCCAAGAAGGACATTATCAAGATTCTTCAGGACCACGGTTCAGATTCGTTTCTTGCAGAACATAAGTTATTAGGAAACAATAAAAAAAGTGGCCAAGACAGCTAATAAGGACCATTTGATTACAGCCTATAACGATCTTTTTGAAAGTAAGCGTTTCAAAGGTACTGAAAGTATAAGTAAAGTGGCTGAGCAGGTAAAAAATGTGAAGCTTAATGAAGATAAACCCAAAGAAACCAAGTCCAAAGAGATTCTGGGTGAGGGTCCACCAAAATATACAAAATCTGTTCTTAAAAAAGGAGATAAAACCAACTTTCCCAAAAAGGGAGATGTTGTTCACTGCTGGTATACAGGAACACTACAGGACGGGACTGTTTTTGATACTGATATTCAAACAAGTTCAAAGAAGGAGAAAAATGCCAAGCCTTTAAGTTTTATGGTTGGAATAAGCAAAGGTATCAGAGGACGGGATGAAGGCCTCTTGACTGTGAGTGAAGGAGAAGAGGCTTGACTGGAGACTGAACCAGAATGGGCTGAGGGAAAGAAAAGACAGCCTGATGCCAAAATTCCACCAAATGCAAAACTCATTTTTGAAGTGGAATTAGTGGACACTGACTGAAACAGCAATGCTTTAGATAAAATGATAGCAGCAATAAAACAAGGCTCTGAAGAAACTTACGGAACTAAATTAGAGCCAGTTACTATTATAAGGAAGAGTCAACTAGAAAATTCAAGGAGTTAAAACTTGTTTACTTGATCGCCCACTATTAAAAAATGTCATGTTATAAATCCCTGAAGTTTAAAATATTTTATTACAACTGTGTAAAATGTTGTTTAAGGAGAACTGATTTTCTTTTTCCTTTTACCTCATGCTGTAAACTGAAAGGGTCAATAAAAATGTACCCAGTGTCAAAAAAAAGGTATACAGGATAAGAGCATTCCAGGGACAGGGAACAGCCAGTGCAAAGATTCTTAGGCTCAGCATGTTGAAGCTGAAAGATGAGGGGAGTCATGATGGGAAAGAAGGGGCCGCAGGATAGATCCTGCTGGGCCTGGTAGGCCATTCTGAGGACTTTGGCTTGAAAGAGGGCAGAACAGAGGAGAGATATGATGTGACTTTATTAGGAAGGCTCTCCCTGGCTGCTGTGATGGGAATTGACCATAGGGTGGCAAGGGTGGAAGTAGAGAGGAGCAGCTAGGAGGCTAGTGAAAATAGTCCACAAGAAATGCTCCTGGCTTGTTGTAGGCTGGTGATGGTGGAGGTGGTGAGAAGTGGTCAGATTCAGAATAAAATTTTGAAGGAGAGCTAGTAGGATTTGCTGATCTAGATGTGGGGTGTAAGAGAAAGAGAGGAACTGAGGATGACTCCAGACTTCTGGCCAGAACAAATGAGAGGATGCAGTTTATTACAGTGAGAAAGACAGGGAGGGAGCAGTTTAGGGTAGGAAGATCCTTTTGAACTTAGTTCAAATAACCACTAACACTAATATACTACTTACAATGTGCCCAATGGTGTTCCACGTACTTTGAATCTTATGACCCAGTTAATCCTCACAGAACTCTACGAATAGGTAGTAATATTCCCATTTTATATATGAGGTAACTGAGGCACAGAGAGATTGAATAAAGTACCCATGGTCACAAAGTTGGTAAGGGGCAGAGATAAGATGTGGACGCAGGCAGTCTGATCACAGGGTCTGTGCTTTCAGTAGCTGCCCTTGGCTGCTGCCTGGTGGGCATCCAGTGAAGTTGCTAAGCACCTGGGTATGTGAGCCTGGGCTCAGGGGAGAGCTGGAGGTTCAAAGTATGCCTTTGTATACACCTGGGAATTGTCTTTGATTCCTAGGGCTGCCATACCAAAATACCACAAACTGGACTGCTTAAAATAACAGATATTTAGTGTCTTATAGTTTGGGAGGCTAGAAGTCTGAACTCAAGGTGTCAGTAGGGCCATGCTTTCTCCAATACTCTAGATAGAATCCTTCCTTGTGGCTTCCTAGCTTCTGGTGGTGGCTGGCAATCCTTGGGATGCTGCCTGCCTGTGCTTGGCCAAGGATGGTACCTGGCCTCCCGAGCCATGACCTGAATAACCCGCAGGTGAATGAGGAAAGACAGCTTGGCTTGTAGTGACATCACTGCAGATCCCTGCTTCTGTCTTCCTGGGGTTCTCCCTGCATGTCTATCTTCATGTCACCTTCCATCTTTTTTAGTAAGGACGCCAGTCATAATAGATGAAGGGAGCACCTTACTTAGTATGGCCCCATCTTCGTGAATTACACCTGCAACAATCTCATTTCCAAAAGAGGTCGTGTTCTGAGATACCAGGAGTTAGGACTTCAACACATCTTTTTGGGGGACACAGTTCAACCCCTAACAATAATCTTTAGGGTATAGATGGTCATTCAAGCTATGAGATCAGAGGAGACCATGTCAGTAGCCCCTAAGGAGAGAGTAGAAAGGAAATTGAAGACCCGGCTTGCGGAATGCCACCCTGCAGAGTTCAGGGGATGAGGAGAAGGCAGCAAAGGAGACAGAAGGAGCAGTGAGCGAGGTGGGGACCAAGAGGGAGTGTGTGGTGTCCTGGAAGCCAGGGGTGGAACGAAGAGGCGAGCAGCTGAGTTCAATGCAGCTGATAAATCAGGAAAGAGGAGGATGGTGACAACTTGGAGGTCATTTGTGCCCTTGACAAGCACTGTTTCTGTGGAGTGAACATGAAAGCCTGCTTGGTGTATGCTCTTCAGGGAACGGGAGGAGAGAACTTGGGACAGCAAATACAGAAAATTCCACTTATGGAATTTACATGGTCTGCCACTCTACTCTAGTGTGTAAGAGCTGTAAGAGCAAGGACAACCACAAACTGGACTGCTTAAAATAACAGATATTTAGTGTCTTATAGTTTGGGAGGCTAGAAGTCTGAACTCAAGGTGTCAGTAGGGCCATGCTTTCTCCAATACTCTAGATAGAATCCTTCCTTGTGGCTTCCTAGCTTCTGGTGGTGGCTGGCAATCCTTGGGATGCTGCCTGCCTGTGCTTGGCCAAGGATGGTACCTGGCCTCCCGAGCCATGACCTGAATAACCCGCAGGTGAATGAGGAAAGACAGCTTGGCTTGTAGTGACATCACTGCAGATCCCTGCTTCTGTCTTCCTGGGGTTCTCCCTGCATGTCTATCTTCATGTCACCTTCCATCTTTTTTAGTAAGGACGCCAGTCATAATAGATGAAGGGAGCACCTTACTTAGTATGGCCCCATCTTCGTGAATTACACCTGCAACAATCTCATTTCCAAAAGAGGTCGTGTTCTGAGATACCAGGAGTTAGGACTTCAACACATCTTTTTGGGGGACACAGTTCAACCCCTAACAATAATCTTTAGGGTATAGATGGTCATTCAAGCTATGAGATCAGAGGAGACCATGTCAGTAGCCCCTAAGGAGAGAGTAGAAAGGAAATTGAAGACCCGGCTTGCGGAATGCCACCCTGCAGAGTTCAGGGGATGAGGAGAAGGCAGCAAAGGAGACAGAAGGAGCAGTGAGCGAGGTGGGGACCAAGAGGGAGTGTGTGGTGTCCTGGAAGCCAGGGGTGGAACGAAGAGGCGAGCAGCTGAGTTCAATGCAGCTGATAAATCAGGAAAGAGGAGGATGGTGACAACTTGGAGGTCATTTGTGCCCTTGACAAGCACTGTTTCTGTGGAGTGAACATGAAAGCCTGCTTGGTGTATGCTCTTCAGGGAACGGGAGGAGAGAACTTGGGACAGCAAATACAGAAAATTCCACTTATGGAATTTACATGGTCTGCCACTCTACTCTAGTGTGTAAGAGCTGTAAGAGCAAGGACTTGAAGAGTATCCTATTCATTACTATATTTTAGTGCCCAGCACACTGTATTCGTTAAACCATGTTAAGTATTATATTAGTATCTCCTTCAGATGTGGGAGACCGTAATTTTCCAGTTTGGTCATACCAACAAGGAGTAGAGAGGAATGATGGGGCTGGACTAGATCTCTGGTTCTTTCTAGCGCTAAAACTCCATGACTGTGTGACTTGTTCTATCAACCGCCCTTGTATTAATATGGTAAGGAATTTAAAGAGTTGTTTGTTGTTATTTATTTGTTTTGGCAAGCAACCATTTATAAAATGGCTGGAATTAGTATTCCATCCTTAAATTGAACAAACATCTGTTGAGCATCTACAAGGTGTTAGGGGCTGTATATAGTGTCCCATCAGAAGAGGTGATGGTAGCCTCTCATTAGTAAGGCCAGGGGTCTAGGGTGCTCTGATGTGGCTGGTGCCACTGTGGTTGCCACTGAGGAGGGAAGGCACCCTACATGGTCTGAGTACAGGGGGCAGCCGAGTTGCAGCCGTGCTGGACTCAGAGCAGCATTTACCAAGGCTTAGGCAACTTCCATCTGCTTCACCACCAGTCAGTTCTGGGGGGCCACACAGAATAGTGTTCAGGCAGTGGGAGGAGGGGAAGATGTGGTCCTCGGGTCCACCCTGCCACAAGGCAGACACCCAGTTCTCCACCACTTTCAGGGCGTGAAGCTTCTGCTGCAGCGAACAGCTCCTTTGGGGGTTTGCATGATCTATTTCAGCTCTCCTAAGGCCCTGGGAAGGAGGGCCGGGCATAGCAGTTGCATTCTAAGGCACATTGAAGAGGGCTCAGAGTATTGTAAGACATGTGGGAAAGTGGCAGAGCCAAGAACCCAGAAGTTCGACTCCAAATGTCTGCCCCAGGAATCATGGAAGAATTTGGATTCTGTGGTCTGTTCCTGGATTCATTTATTACCACCTTCCCCTGATCCTGCCTGAAACGGGGTTACCTCAGTTTCCTCATCTGTAAAACAGGGAGAAAAATGTCCTCTTTACAAGGCAAAACGTGGGTAAAGCGTTTTGTAACGTGCAAAGGGCTAACATTTATTTTGGTCATCAACAACCAGGCCAAGCTTCCTCTCGCAATTACAGATTATGCTCTCTCCCACCCATCTGACTTGGTCCCTAGTTCCACTTCACACTCATTTTCTCCGTCCGTCCCCCTCCAGCAAAGAGAGGAAGTGAGAGAATGATAAGAGCACGTGCGACTAACCCCGTGTTAAGCCTGCGTCTGGGTAAAGCGCACACTTCACCTCCCCTAGATGCCGAGAGGCGCCCCCAGCCCATACTACATTTCCCAGCAACCCTTTCGCGGTCCCAGCCGCGGAGGCAGTGAAGCGCATGCGCCACTCGCGGCTCCACCTGGTGTGCAGGCCGTTCCTCCTGAATCAGTTTCCACTAGCCAAGCCGGCAGGTCCCGGCGCTGCTGCGGGCGCTGTCCTCCCGGGAGGTAGCGGGGCTCAGGTGTGCCTTAGCTGCGGCCAGTGCCATGATCCGGCAGGAGCTCTCCACATCCTACCAGGAGGTACAAGGCGTAGGGGGCGGGAGCAGCGTTGCCTGTGAGGCGAGGAGCAGGGTCCCGGGGTCCCGGGGGTCCGGGCGGTGGAGTGCGGGGCGGTGGAGTGCGAGGGGCGTCCGGGCGGGCCGAGTGCGCTTCGGAGGAGAGGGGAGTGCGTCGGGGGAGGGTCCCCCAGGGCCGAGGAGCGGCAGAGCAGGAAGGAAGCCGAGTGCCCAGCCTCCTCCGGATGCTGCCGTCGCTTGGCCACGGGACAGAACCGGGTCCCGGGCGCCGCGACCCGCAGCCGGCAGGTAGATGATTAAAGCCGCGCCAGACCCGCGCGCCCGGCCGGCGGGAACCCGGGTGGTCCCTGCTGCAAGTGCAAGCGCCCGCGCGCTCCTCCGGGCTGGAGCAGATGCGCGGCGGGCGGCAGCCCCCTCCCGGCCCAAGGCCTCGTGGCCCCTGCGGCTGTTAATGACAGGGATAATCACATCTTGTTTTGGTGGCCGCCTAACTTAGCTGCTTTGCCCTCCGCTCCGTTGTTCTCCAGTCTCACCTCCTCCCACGACTTTAACTATCACTTTCCAGTTCTTTGTCTCGTCTGTCCCGAGCTACAGGTTGTGGTTCCAGCTCTGCCCTGAGACCGTCTGTTTCTTCCTCCTGACGCTTACTGAAACTAGCGAACTGTCCCCCTCCTTCTTCTCCCCTCAGGGCCCAGACCTTCGTCATCTCCGGTCAGCTTCCTCCCTTGTGCCCCTCACCGTGCCCCCCTCACTTGGAAAGCTCTGGCAGTTTCACACTCTCAGTCCTGCCGAGGTTTGTATCCCTCGGTCTGCTCTGACCACCTGAGTGTGTGTTCCCGCCTCTCCCTTTGGTACCTCCCATGCTGGGCAGACTGGTTTCCAGGCCTTGCCCTGATCCCAGAGCATTCCTTTTTACATACACCTGGTGCTGTCCTTGATCTATCCAGAACAGTCCAGAACAGTCCAGACTTCTAGGCAAGCTTTCAAAGCTCTGCACAGCTCAGCAGCCCTATCCTCTGTTACCTTCATTATCCCCTCGCCCACTTAGGTTCTGGCCACACTGCATGCCCACCGTTTACAAATGTCTGCTGCTTTCCTTCCTCTGTGCCTGTGCTCACATCATTTCTTCTCTAACCCCCTCTTAAGGTCCATTGTTTAAAATTTCCCCATTACTGAAGGGGGAATCTCAAACCCCACATGCTCCAAGGGAGACTGACTCCCTACACTAATCTAACCTTCTATCTTTCCCATATGAACTTGCTGCTGTCTTGATTAATACTGATGAATATTGATGTACATTTCTTCCTTTGTAAATGATACTGTGGAGTATATAAAGCAGATGGCTTAGTCCCACAGTAAGTAAAAGGGGAAGCAAAGTTGAAGACATGATATTTGCCTAAGGCTTCCTAGTTTTTAGTGTTGGACCTGGGCTGGAATTTGACTTTGGGATAGATTTCTGTTTCTTGTACCATCTCCTTTATCCCATCTGTTTCCTTTATTCAAAAGGAGACTGATAGATTTTAACCCATGCTGTGTGGATTCTGTGGCCCCTAGATTCCATACCCTAGAGAGTGGGGGAATCCTGGGGAATGAGTTTTGTCTTTCTCTGACTGGGAAAGTTTTAAGTTTACAGGGAATAAAGCATAGGGGTAAGTACTAGGACTTAGTTAAAAAGCACATGTTCAGATGAACAAAACAGCAGTAGACTCATAGACACTGAGAAGTGATTAGTGCTTACCACAGGGGAGGGGTTGGTGTGGTAGGTGAGGGGGATAAAGGGGCACAAAAATTCTCAGTTATAATATGAGTTGGTCATGGGGATAGTAGTACAGCATGGAGAATACAGTCAATGATTCTGTAACAGTAACCACACTAGTGGGGGTTAAATCCTCACTTTAATAATATGGGTAACTGTGGAACCACTGTGTTGTATATCTGAAACCAATATAGGATTGTATATCAATGATACTTCAATAAAAAAAAAAAAAGCCCGGGTTCTTATCCTGGCTCTGCTGCTGGCCATTTGTGTGACTTTTGTCACTTAACATCTCTGAGCCTGAAGTTTCTTCATCTGTAAAATGAAGGTGATGATAGTAGTTCCTTTCTCATAGAACTGTGAGGATTAGGTTAGTTGGTCTGGAAAGTGCTTAGCTCGGTGTCTGGCAGGTAGTGACTGCTCAGTGAATGATAGCTCTCGTTAATAGAGTGTGGGCAGCTCCTGCTTCTGGAGAGTTTTGGGGTCCTGGTTTACAGGACCACGCCCCTCCCCTTCCACAGGTAACTTTACCTAGCAGGGCTCCTACAATGCTTATTAAAATAATGGGCAGTTACCCTGCTTGCAGGGGCAAGTCCAGTGGTAGAGGCAGTTTCTATTTGGGGTGCCCCCACGGTGGAAGACACTGGAGGAATGCCTCCCCTTTGCCTTCTTCAGTGGCCTGTTCTGAGTTCTGTCTTTCACCGTCTTCAGAAGAAGACAGCCTCCTCGAGGGCGGCCTGCATCTTCCTTGCCTGGATCATTCTGAGACTGGGCTTCGCTCCGAGTTAGGTTTCTTTGCTGAAGGGAGATTTTGACTTCGGGGGATAGGCTGAAATTTGGCCAAGGGCAGCAAGGAGGTGGGCTCACTATCGCTAACGGTGGTCAGCAAGGGAACTGGGGTAGGAGGGTATTGCCACCTGCGTTAGGCTGGTTCTGGGTGAGGCTTGCATCAGAGAACTTTGGGCCCTCTCAGGACTGTCATCCTCCTTTCCTGCTGGCCAGTGAGAGCTCTGGGGGCCTCTTGATCTGTGCTCCTACTGAGGACTTGTATCTCATGGTACCTTCTCTGGCCTCCCAGCCCTCTCCGACTTGTTGGTCTTCTTTCCCTTTGGGCTTGGAGGACTTTAAGCTGGAGGTTTTACCTGATTCCAAGAGGCAGGAGAGGAAGATGCAAGAATAATAGAAACATCAGAGCTTTATTTTAATTCAAGTCTCTTGGAGGTGAATTTTTAATGAAAATGCCTTGAGACCTTAAGTGCTGATACTCTGAGACTAAGAAATACTAGGGAAACCCCGTCCTCCCAGTTCAGTGATGGATTCTCCTCTAAGCTCTGGTCTTGACCCCTCCTGCCCTCCCCCTTGATGCTTGGAAGCCCTGCTGGTTACCTCTGTCTCCTTTTTGCCCACCTTCCTTCCTCAGCGGCACACTTCCCCCATTTGACAGATGAGAAGACAGTGATGAAGTGAAAGGTTGCTGGCTGCCAGGCTGGTAGTTAACTCCTGTCTCTGGGATGGCCTGCCCTCCCCACCCTGTTCTGCCATTGGCAGCCTGAGTTGGTGGACTTTAGCCAGAGTCCAGGAAAGCTCAGACACCGACTTCACGTTTTGTTTCCTCCTGCATCTCAGCAGACTCTTACGCTGTGTTTTCTCCTCTGGCTATGGAACCAGACCAACTTAGATTTGACTTCTGGCTATGGAAGGTGTTGTGGGTCGAATTGTATCCCCCCTCCCCCAAAAGATATGATGAAGGCCTTAACCCTGGTCCCTTGGAAAATAGCCTCATTTGGAAATAGGGTTGTCCCAGATGGAATTAGTTCAGGTGTGGTCATATTGGAATAGAGTGGGCCTCAATCCACTGTGAATAGTGTCCCTGCAAGCAGATGACCGGGTGAAGACCCGGAGACACACAGAGAGTTCATGTGTAGATGGAGGCAGGGATTGAAGACCGGATGCATCTCCGAGCCGAGGAATGCCCATGATTGCTGGCCAGGACCCGCAGCTAGGAGAGAAGCGTGAGAAAGATTCTCCCCCAGAGCCTTCAGAGGGAACCGATACTGCTAACACCTTGATTTCCTACCTCCAGTCTCTAGAACGGTAAAGGCAGTAAAGTTCTTTCGTTTTAAGCCACCCAGTTGGTGGTGCTGTGTTGCGGCAGCCCTGGGAAACTAATACGCGGCCAGTGACTTGAGATCTGAGCTTCAGTGTAGAACTGGTATAACACACCCTACATCATGTGGTTTGGTGGCTTTTTTTTTTTTTTTTTGGTAACAAGTATGTGAGAAACAGCTTCTGCTTTCTTACTGTAGTCTAAACAAGGAAGGCGGATGGAGCTGACCTGTTTGCCCTCTTTGTTTCTCCCTTTAGCTGAGTGAGGAGTTGGATCAGGTGATTGAGAACTCAGAGCAGGGGGACAAGCGGGAAAAGGAGGCAGGCGAAGTCCAAGGTCCGGGAGTCTTACCAGGTAAGTGGGTACTGTGCTGGGGCGAACGTGCTGAAGAACCGCTGCTGAGCTGTTGCTGTGGCTCCGGGCGCCCTGCCAGCCGGGTACCTGTGGGAGCGGAGGCACCCCTCTGCCGGGCAGCCTGGTGTCACATCTCACGTACTGCCCTCGTTTCAAGGCTATACATATTTAACCAGCCTGGGGACAGAGAATGTGTCCAGGCTGGTATCTGCTCTTGTCTGTACTCTGGGTTGAGCCAGTTCCTGCAGCCAGGCCCTTGAGTGCAAAGGCCAGGGCTCTGGGTCTCTGCACCTCTGCTTTTCAGTACCTTTTTCCCTAGGAAGCTGTTAGCAGCTAAGCCTCTAATATCTGGGCACTTTTCAGGGCCCTCTAGGAGAGTATCTAACAGGCCCCACCTCTTGGACATCTGGCCTCTCCAGTTCCATCACCAGCTGGGTGAGCCAGGTCCCGCCAGTGGGGTGGCATGTTACAGAGCCTCGCTGTGACGTTTGAACCTGTCGACCACTTCCTTCATGATACATTCTGCTCCTTGGGCTTCCGAAGTGTACCCCTTCTCCAACTACTCCTCCCAGCCTCCTCCGAGTCATCCTTCAGTTCTTGGACATTAAATGCTTGTCACAGGCCCCATTCTCTCACTCTCTAGTGGGCCATCTCACCCAGGCCCCCCGTGTCTGACTTTACTCACTGCCCATCACGTGTGATTGCCACGCTTACACCTCTAGCCCAAAGGTTGCTTATAAGCTCCAGACATATATCCTATATATGCAAATACCCGGCCAATAGCTCTGCTTGGATGTCCCAAAGGAACCCTAAGTTCCACATAACCCAAGATCAATCTTGTGATCTCCCCACTCCAGCTTGGCCCTTCTGCAGTGTTTCCTGTTTCCGGGAAGGGACCACCACCCATCCTGTTGTACCTGAGAGTCATTCTTTTTTCCTTCCTTCCCTTCATTCCCTTTTTCTCTGCCCCTCAGCCCTGCTGGCCTTCTTTTATTTTGGGCCTCACTCCCTCCTGCATTAGGGCCTATTTGTTGTTTTATTCCTGTGCCTGGAATCCTCTTCCCTCCATCATCTAGTTAAGGCCTAATCATTTTTTAGCCTTCAGCTCACTCATTTTTTTCTGCAAAGCCTTCTCTGACCTCCCTGTTGGCTCACCTGCCACCCTCCAACCTGTCACTCACAGCCCATGCCCCTCTCCCCTGTGGCTGTCGCTGATGGGATGCTGTATTTCTGCCTGACTGATGATGTCTGCTCATTTTACTAGAATGTAAGCTCCACGAGAATAAAGACCAGTCCATTCTGCTCACCACTTTAGGCCATGCACTAAAGATTTGTTGAAGGAAGGAGTGAGTGAATGGAGCCCCAGCCTGACTCCAGCTTCTTGGGTGGCCTGAGGGAGGTGGGATTCTGCTCCTTGGGATTCCATTTATTTGTAGGAGACAGGAACGGTGTAGGAAATGTTGAGATGGTACCTGATCCTTGGAGAAGACTTTGTAGTAGGGCGGTTAGGAGGGTGGCTGTTTACCAGCTGCCCCTGCCCAGGCTGTCATACCCATTGCTCCATTTCATTCTCATAACAACCCTAGGAGGGGTGGTCATCCCCATTTTTACAGATGAGGACCTGCGGTTAAGTAAAGTGTGGGAAGATCACGTTATAAACAGACAGACTGGATCCAGTTCTGTGTGACCCTAAACTTTTTCTACTGCACCAATGGCTTTTAAAAAGTATTTTAAGTATCCTTTTACTAAAGCCCAATGTGTAAAAGCATGGCTGTCCCCACTCTGACTCTAGGCACTGCTTCTAAAACTCTAAGGTCCCAGGGAGAACACATTTAAAAGCCCTGTATATTACTTTGTTTTGCTCTTTAACAAATTACCACAAATTTAGTGGCTTAACACAGTTTGTTACTTGACTGTTCAGATTGCAGGCCAGAAGTCCAAAACGGGTCCTCCTGGGCTAAAATTAAGGAGTGGGCAGGCCTGAATTCCTTCCTGGAAGCTCCAGGGCAGAATCCATGGCAGTGCCTTTTCCAGAGCCCAGAGCTGCCCATATTCCTTGGCTGGGGCCCTTCTTCCAGCCTCACTGTGGCAGCGGCAGAGCTCCCCCTGCGGTGCTGACTACTGCCTCCCTTTCGCATGTGTCAAGTGCCCGTGTGATTATAGTGGCCCCCCCAGATGATCCAGGATCATCTCCGTTTTACAGGTCAGATGATTAGCTGCTCTAATCCCGTCTACTGCCTTAGTTGCTCTTAGCCATGTAACTTTCACATATTTATGGGTTCCAAGAATTAGGATTGGGACGTCCTTGGTGGGCCATTCCTCTGCCCACTGCGCCCTGCTTGAGTCTCTTGCCCCAGTCAGAAGAGGATAGGTGGAGGCTGCAGGAAGAAGAGGAGGGAGGGCAGACCTGAAAAGGTGACGTTTCCTTTTGTGTTTCTTTTTACAGATGAGTGACAGGCAAACTAGGAAGTGTCCATCATGGCCTTTGACCTTAGCAGACTCTCTTATGCCTCAGATTCCTGGGGCCTCTAAGCCTGAGGTCAGTCAGAGCAGAAGCCAGATCTCGAGTGGAGCAAATTTTAGAAAGTTCCATCGACTGGCAAGAGTCTTACCTGCTTTTGCAGAAACCGTGTTGGGCACGTCCTTCTAGAGCATAGGCGGTCAGTTCTCGGAGGTCCATCGGCTGGACGCCTTTGTGACCTGGCCTGAATCTGATGACCTGATACGCAACTGTCCGAGCTCATCTCCTGCCTGAGTCCTCTAACAGTAATGAAATAATTGTAATGGTAACAGCAGTCACCACCCACTTACTAGGTGTACTAGACCTGTCTAGGCCCTTTTATATATATATTTCATCACATAATGTCCGAGACCACTCTGTGCAGGAGATGGATAGTCCTGGTTCGTAGATGAGGAACTGAGGCACAGGTCAGTGGTGAGCTCCGAGGGAGTGAGTGACCGGGTTCACATTGAACCCGAGGCTGTCTCTGAAGGTGTTCTGACTCTGGCTCGGTTGTTCCTATGTGAGATGTTTTCTTGCTCCCAAATCCTTCCCATCTTCCACTGGAGTCACTCGTGGGCTCCTTCGCTTGTTATGCAAGTGCTCAAACCACGAACAAGGTGAGTGAGGCGTGGCCCACCTCTGGGACCTCAGGATGTGTGGAGCCGCCTAGTGAGGGGCTTTCCTCCCTGTTCCCTGCTTTCCGAGCACTCTGTGCTTGTCCGTTGCAGCATTTAGCACATGTAAGAGGTCACATTTATAGAGTATAATCTTCTGATTAATTGCTGTCCCTTTGTGCAGGCATTGTGCAGGTTTCTGCCTTCAAACCATGTTTATTTGGCTTATGATAGAGTGGTTACCTGCCCACACATGACAGACAGTGACATTTCAGAGTGGTGATGGGGCCATGGAGGGTGCCCTAGGAGCACTGAGGAAGGGGCGGGCACCCTGGTAATGTTTACGGGGTCAGGGAGGGCTTCCTCGAGGCAATGCCATCCTCAGCTGAAACCTGGAGGAAGGTGAGTCAGTATGGAAAAAAAAGCACTTTAGGCCTTGGCATATGCGACAGGTTCCTGGGTTGAGGAGGAATCCACCCACAGGAGGAACGGAGAGTCATTTAGTAAAGCTGGAGGCACTGGGGGAAACGAGAGGGAGGGATAAAGCCACAGAGGAAGGTTGGGGCTTGCTCCCCATTGGATCGTACCCACCTGTCCCCCTAGAGAGGACACGCCTTAAAGATAACAACTGAGTCTCTTTCTGCTCTGGGTCCCCTTCCTGGCAGAACAGGTGCATAGTGAATGTTGATAGGTGCCATGTGTTACGGCTTTGGGGGTGCTGAAATGGGGGATTCGGTGAAGCAGGTGAAGGGCCTGGAGGTTGCCGACTGCCTCAGGCTGCACCGGCCCCCGCTCTCCGGCTCACCCATGTGTTGTTGTTCAGTCCTGGACAGCGAGTCCGCCTCCAGCAGCATCCGCGTCAGCAAGGCCTGCCTGAAGAACGTCTTCTCGGTGCTGCTCATCTTCATCTACCTGCTGCTCATGGCCGTGGCTGTCTTCCTGGTCTACCAGACCATCACGGACTTCCGTGAGAAACTCAAGCACCCCGTCATGTCAGTGTCTTACAAGGAGGTGGATCGCTACGACGCCCCAGGTAGAGCATGCGCTGGACAGGCATCTGGGCCCTGTGTGGGGCTCCACGGGCAGGTTGGAGGAGTCTGAGCACAGTCTGGCAGGGTGCCTACCTGAGGAGCTGCTGTCAGTGCCCAGGAGTGCCAGGGAGAGAGGTGGGCAGAGGCTGCAGTGGTCACTGCAGAGCGTGGTGGGCAAGGAGCACTGTACAGAGGTAGGATTTGAGCTGGGCTTTGATAGGTGGGAAAAAGGTTTTCTGAGAGGAAGATCAGCAGGAGCAAGGGTGACTGTAGGAAGGCAGTGGCTTCTCTGAAGAGGATGCGTCTAGCCTGGCTGGAGCCACAGGCCAGTGGTGAGGAGCGGAGTTCAGGGTGGCAGGGGGAGCTGGGCCATCCAGAGGTGGGTGTGGCCCCAGCTGGGAGGGCTTCCCAGGCCACACATCCATACCTCTTCTGTCCCAGGGGCAGCCTGGTCCGTGCATGGGGAGTTGTGTCTGCCACAGAGCCGAGTGTCTGCTGGCACCGGGCTCTGGAATCATGGGAGTGAATGGGAGGCATGAGCTCTGTGGGCTCGGGCTCTGCCCGCCGGATGCCCCTGAGTGACCCTCCGGAAGGTCTGCTCTCACAGCAGAGCCAGAGCCTAGGGCCCCCTCCGCCTGGGGCTTCCTGACGAGTGTGCTGCTCACAGCTCCTTTGCCCATCTTTGCATGTGTGTGTTTGTCCCTCTCCCTGTGCGTCTGCTCTGGTCTCCGATCTCTGATTCTGGCCTCTTGGTCTCTCCAAGCTCTGCCTGTGTCTGGTGCCATGTGCTGCTCTCAGTGTTTCTGCCCTGAGAGCCTTGACTGAGGTACCTTGGCTGGGGGAGAGGGGGGCACCTCTGGGTGGGACCTGCACACCCGGAGCTCCCAGTCGGAGCAGCTGAGAGGCAGAGAGCCGGGGACTCCCACAGCTGGAGGCCTCCTGCTGTGTCCATAGGTGGGGGCTGCTGCCGGGGGCTGGCACGGATGGGCTCCTCCGGGCAGCCCCCTGGAGTGTGGAGCGGGGCCCTGAAGGGCGTGGGTCTGGGGCAGGTGCGGCGAGGTGGCTTCCCAGGCCGGGAGACGGGCTTACTGGGAAGGGGCTACAGCCCCACCGGAGGAGGGTTTTCTGCGGGCTGGGGATGTGGGTCCCCGCCCTCTGTGAACCTTTGTCTCTCCCTCCTCTGCGGTCGCCCAGGGGATCCTGGACTTAGGTGACTGGTGGGTTGAAAAAATGTATGTGACCTGATCTTAGGGGTGTGAGCAGAGACTGTGACTTCTGACAGCCACCTTTCCCTGTCTGTGCCCCCAGGGATCGCCTTGTACCCAGGACAGGCCCAGCTGCTCAGCTGTAGGCACCATTATGAGGTCATTCCACCCCTGAGGAGTCCGGGCCAGCCAGGAGACATGAACTGCACTACCCAGAAGATCAACTACTCGGACCCTTTCTCCAATCAGACCCTGGTAACTCATCTCTCTGAGCTGGGCCTGGGCAGCACGCCCTGTCAGCCTCGCGCCCCTAGGGCTGCATTCTTTCTGCCAGGCTGCTTCTCGAATTCCCTTGGTGCAGGGCCTCAGCCTCCAGCAAACACGAGGCTGTCCTAAGTGGGGCTGTAGCCCTTGCTGGCTTACCTGCATTCAAGGACGGCAGTAAGGTCTTCAGCCTTCCTGGGTGATTCCTGACAACGTGATAAGGTCCTGTTCTTGATGGAGGGATAAGGTGGGGCCAGTGTGGTATAGTGAAGTATGCTGGACAGAATTGTCAGGGTGCTTTTTGAAAATATGGATTCCTGGGTTCCATGTGGGGCCAACTGAATCATTATCCCTGGGAATGGGCCCTGGGAGTCCATATTTTGAAATACATATGCCAGTATAAAGGCAGAGTGATGGTCTGGGAATAAGGACCCCTGGCCCCAGCCTTGCTGCCAGCTGGGGTGTGGATGGCAGAGAGAAGGGGGGCCTGTGCACAGGGCTTTGAAGGCAGGGAAGGAATTCTGTTGCTTATTTACATCTTTCTTTTGCGTCCCATATCCTTATTTCAGAGAGGACTAATAGGGCTGAGTCAAAGTTTTCCAGGTCAAAGAGAGGAAGGGTTTTCTATACAGAGAAACTGCACCAAGACATAAAGGGAGAAAACAGCATGTTGTGTTTATGCCTCTGTGCAAAGTCACAGTAGCTGGGTGTGTCTGGAGGGCCAGCTGTCCCCACAAGAGCGGTGGGAAGTGAAGCTGTGGATGGAAGCGGTGGCTGGCTGAGAGGAGCTGGGGTGTCCTGCCACAGCATGGGGCTCCTGTGGGTGATGGGGAGCCATGAGTGGGTCTTAAGATGAAAGAATCACACTAAGGTTTTTCTGTTAATATTTATTCTAAATTTTCTCCTAAAATCTTGCTGAAATGATTCATACTCTTACAAAAAATATAAAGAAAGAAAATATCAATAACAGCCCTGCAAACCAAGAAAGCATATCACCAATGGACCAGAAATTTTGAGGAAGTGGTATAAAATGTAAATACTAAATTGGGTCAGATTGATGGAACAAACAAATCAGAAAACTTGTAGCCAAAAGCAGACGGAGGAGAGGACTGCTAGAAAAACAGGCTTTCCTTCCAACTCCCAGCTCTGTGGAGTGCATTCAAAGAGCAGGGCTGGCCATGGGGCCATGGTCAGGACAGATTTATGGGAAGCCTGTTGGCTGGGCTCACCACGCCTTCTGTCCTCCCCGGGCACACAGAGCTGCTGGGAAGGTGTTTGCTTCTGGGGCAAAGGCCCCAGGGCCATTCTCTCACAGAAGGCCAGGTGAGGTTCCCTGCTGTGCATGGGGCAGCAAAGACAGAGAGTAGAACTTGAGACTGGCGCACAGTGGAAGGCACAGAGAACCGTGGGAAAGGCATCTCACCCCGAAGAGACAGCAGCCGGCCCACTGGCATTGCCGGCCCACTGGCATTCCCGGCCCACTGCCCAGGGGGGTCCTTACAGTCTGTGCTGGGCCAGGCAGGCCTGTGAGAGTGCTGCTCAGAAGACCCAGATCAACACTAGTCAGCCGGGTCCTTCATTCAGAAATAAGAATGGAGAACTAAGGGTCACTAGACATTTACATGAAACCAACAACATAAAGGAAAAGGGTCAAGAGGAGAAAAAAATGGACTCTACAATAGGGTAACAGAAGTTAGTTTAAATGAAAAAGAAAATATTTTTTACAAATTTTAGTGAAGTGCTAGATACACAGTAGAAGCACTGTGTGGGTCCCAGCTCTCCTGTCCACCCTGTGACACGGGCTGCCTGTACAGGGCATGCCTCATGGGCACAGCCGGCGCCGCGTCTCTGCAGGCCCTTCCTTCCACTCCCCAGCTGGGCTGTATACTGACCAGGAGTCCGCCGCATTTATCCCCCAAACCTGTTTATGCCATTCGTACTCGTTACAATCATTTTGTGATTTAACTGTATATTATAAAAGCCACCGAAACACGAGCACAAAAGGAAAGTTGTTTCCATGAAAACTAAGTTGAATATAGTTACCACTTCCAACTCTGGGTGGTGGTTAGTCTTCTCCAGCAGTTCTGTAGTGGCTCCTTGCAGTCCACAGGCAAAAGCTAAGAAGTTCTTTCCTCCCTGTGCGCCAGGTCCCAAGCCAGTGAAGAGTGGGGAGGAGGGACAGGAGAGGCGCAGCGCAGCGCAGCGGGACTCCATGCGGAGGGCGGGCAGTGCAGGGCAGCTGCTTTCCAGGCTGAGTGTCCTGCCTTAGCGTGCGGGGAACACCCTGGAGACTTCTGTGTCTCCAGAGCCCTGGCCCTGGCCAGAGTCTGCCCTAGGGGGCGGTGAGCCTCAGCCTGTGGCTGGCTGTGGAGTGGATGTTGGAAAATAGGCCCTTGTGGCCTGCACAGCTTTGGGCCCCCGCTTCCTGCTGTACGTGTAGGCTGCGGAGGGGCGTTAGACTGACGTTGCAGACTTGGAGGTCATCAGCTTGTCCTTTCCCTCCTGCCCCACCCGCTTCATTTGCAGTAAGATGTCTTCAGAAATGAGCAGGCTTCTGGCTATTTGCACGGCCTGTGGATCCATGTGAAAGTGACCCAGCCGAGGTTCTCATCCGCTCCTACTTGATCAGCTTTCAGATTCTCATGTGTCTTCTAGTCCCTCTCTCATGAGCCCTCAGTTTAATTTAGTTAATGTTTCCCAAATACTGGGCTCTGCACAATTAGGGTCACTGCCTTTCCAGGCTGTTAGGACCTGTTTCTCACCACCTGCTGTATTCCCAAGGCCCGAATGTTAAGCTGATGCCTCATTTTCACGTTGTTGTTACCATAGCACTCCAGTTCCAGAAAACAGCTTATGGATTGATCAGAGAATAGACTAAGCTAAAAATCAACAGCACCCCAAACAAATACAGAGGCTGGGACAGAGAGATGTCTCTTTTCTTCCTCTGGGGACAGGCCAGGTGTGCAGATGAGGCCACATAGGATGGTCACGTACGGCATCTGTCTGTCACTCTGCCATCCCTTAGGCGTGTCTCATCCTCGTGGTCAGCACTGGCTTGCCAGCACGTGTACACACCACCCGCCCCCGGGAGGTAATAAGTGGAGGGCGGGCAGTTCCCCTTTGAAGGCATGATGTGGAGTGCATGAGTCCCTCTGAGCACAGGCCGGGAACTTCATCACACGGCCGTGGCTGAGGCCGGCAGTGAGGCTCTAGCAGGCGGCTGTGTTCTGCTAACGTCTAGGGCTGGGGAAGCAGCGCTAGTTCTACAGGAGGAAGTGGATAATGGAAACGGGTCAGTTAGCATTCTCTGCTGCCTCTTAACTGTCATGGTATGGTTGAAAATAAACATATGGACAAGACTTCTTGGGAAAATGTAACAATTATCAGAAGAATGGAGTGGCAATTTAATTCAGTCAAGTGGAATTCCAGGTGCAAAGGGTTAAAAGGATGTTTAATATGGTAAGAGATTCAGTCTCCTGTTCTCCGCTGAGAAGGCTGATCGGTAGTAAGTCGTGATGTGCAAAATAGCATACCATTTGTATATTTTAGGCAAAACCTGTTAGAAATAAAAAATACTATTACCTTAAAGTGTGCCTAATACCTCTTCGAGAAATTCACAGATCAAATAGACAAGAAAGGTAAGAATTGAATAACAATTAATTTAGAGTAACAGTGCCTAGAGAGAGTACTCACTCTTCAGGTTTCTGTACAGCATTTATAACCGTTCATGATGTAAAGATATTTTCCTCAAATTAGTCTATAAATCTAGCACCAACACATTAAAAAAAAGTCCCAGGTGATTTTCATGAACCTCAACAAGCTAGTTCTAAAGCACATTTAGAAGAGCACATGTACAAAAATAACCCTGCCAGGTTTGGGAATGAAGGGGAGTCTTGTGGAAGGGACTTGCCCAGAAGGTTTCAGAACCGTGTACACCCACGGGGATCAACCTGCCCTCTCTCCACTATTTGAGGGATGGGAGTTAGATCCCTATTTCACACCATGTGCAAACCTGAAGCCAGGCATAACTAACTAAATGTAAAAAAAGATTTTTTTAAAAGGTGCTATTAAGAAATAAAGACTATCGATATAATTTTGGTTTTCCTTAGCAAGCAAAACCCAAAAGCCATGACAAAAAAGATTTACAGAATTCACTGCATCAAATTTAGACCTTCATATAACAACAAATGGCATTAGAAATAAAGTTAACGGAGAAGTGACAGACTGGAAGAAAACATGACAGATGGCAGTTAATATCCTTCCTAAAGAGCTTCCATAGCGCAGCCAACCAACAAGAAAAGTGGGCAGGATGAGTTGCACGCAGCTCTGGTGTGGGCACTGTGCCAAGTGCCACCCTGAGGGCTGAGCAGGGCAGTGTGGCCAGCAGGTGTCACCCGGGGCTGCTGGGGTGCAGCTGCGGGCTCTACAGTCGGTGCCTCCGATCAGACCCCGAAGTCTGTGCCTGAGAGGCCAGGGTCAGGGGCATCCATGCCGCTCCCCCAGGGCTCACATCCTGCCTTTATCTCTCTGCAGAAATCCGCCCTGATTGTGCAGGGGCCCCGAGAAGTGAAGAAGAGGGAGCTGGTCTTCCTCCAGTTCCGCCTAAACAAGAGTAGCGAGGACTTCAGCGCCATCGATTACCTCCTCTTCTCTTCTTTCCAGGAGTTCATGCAAAGGTGGCCTGAGAGTTCCCGGCAGGCTTGCATTGCACTCTGCATCTTACTGGGAACAGCCTTGCAGGTTCCCAGCCTGCGGTGGGAGGGGAGTGGGCCAGGGAAGCTGGGCTGCAGATGATGACCCGATGGCCCAAGGAGGACCATCCTGGAGAAGGGCCTCCAGAGCTCAGTTGGTCCATGAAACCTCTTTACAAAATTAATCAAGTCTGGTGTGGGGGGTGTTGTGACTCATACACGCAGAGCTGGCTGCATCCTGGTAGGGCTTTGGTTCCGCCAAACTGCACGGCTGCTGCGGACGGGAGGAAGCTGCATGGTGTTCTGAGCCCCCTGAGGGAAGTTCTGCCTGTGCCCTCTGTGTGTTCCCCACGTGTTTCCAGTATGAGGATGGATGGCCCTGTCTGCCTTGGGGACACACTAAGGCATAACTAACTAAATGTAAAAAAAGATTTTTTTAAAAGGTGCTATTAAGAAATAAAGACTATCGATATAATTTTGGTTTTCCTTAGCAAGCAAAACCCAAAAGCCATGACAAAAAAGATTTACAGAATTCACTGCATCAAATTTAGACCTTCATATAACAACAAATGGCATTAGAAATAAAGTTAACGGAGAAGTGACAGACTGGAAGAAAACATGACAGATGGCAGTTAATATCCTTCCTAAAGAGCTTCCATAGCGCAGCCAACCAACAAGAAAAGTGGGCAGGATGAGTTGCACGCAGCTCTGGTGTGGGCACTGTGCCAAGTGCCACCCTGAGGGCTGAGCAGGGCAGTGTGGCCAGCAGGTGTCACCCGGGGCTGCTGGGGTGCAGCTGCGGGCTCTACAGTCGGTGCCTCCGATCAGACCCCGAAGTCTGTGCCTGAGAGGCCAGGGTCAGGGGCATCCATGCCGCTCCCCCAGGGCTCACATCCTGCCTTTATCTCTCTGCAGAAATCCGCCCTGATTGTGCAGGGGCCCCGAGAAGTGAAGAAGAGGGAGCTGGTCTTCCTCCAGTTCCGCCTAAACAAGAGTAGCGAGGACTTCAGCGCCATCGATTACCTCCTCTTCTCTTCTTTCCAGGAGTTCATGCAAAGGTGGCCTGAGAGTTCCCGGCAGGCTTGCATTGCACTCTGCATCTTACTGGGAACAGCCTTGCAGGTTCCCAGCCTGCGGTGGGAGGGGAGTGGGCCAGGGAAGCTGGGCTGCAGATGATGACCCGATGGCCCAAGGAGGACCATCCTGGAGAAGGGCCTCCAGAGCTCAGTTGGTCCATGAAACCTCTTTACAAAATTAATCAAGTCTGGTGTGGGGGGTGTTGTGACTCATACACGCAGAGCTGGCTGCATCCTGGTAGGGCTTTGGTTCCGCCAAACTGCAGGGCTGCTGCGGACGGGAGGAAGCTGCATGGTGTTCTGAGCCCCCTGAGGGAAGTTCTGCCTGTGCCCTCTGTGTGTTCCCCACGTGTTTCCAGTATGAGGATGGATGGCCCTGTCTGCCTTGGGGACACACTGTGGTGCCATCTTTGGGGCCCAGAGTGCTCACTGGGAGTGGGAGCATTTTTCTGCACGTGCCTGGACGGGGGGTGACTCAGTCCCTCCAGGTGCTGCCTGCCCCCAGGGCTCCTTAGCAAAGTAGGGAGGCGGCCACAGCAGAGAGGCTGCTGCCAGCTGACGAGCTTGTGCTGCTCCGTTCACACTGCCACTGCTCCGTCCTTCCTGCTTGGAGTGTGGAGTTCCTGCCATGGCACCTTCCACCCTTTCTGCCACCTGGGACTCCCTCGCCATTCCCTGCTTGAAGTGGACCCATGTCACCTTCCTTTCCAGCCCCTCCCGGGGCTCCTCAGGATCTGGCTGCATCTGCCCGCCCTGGGCGGATGCCATCGGTGTCCATCTGGCCGCTGAGAGCTCCCTGAGAAGCCCTCTGCCCTCTCTGCCCTCCCAGAGGGAGGCCGGCAGGCCCGTGCAGGCTCCTCCGGGCCGCTGAGGTGCAGAGTTCTTGAGGGGCCAAGTGCATGTTCTGTGTGCTGTCCGGCGCCGACTGCTCTGGGAGTGGGCACACGGCTGCTGGGGTGGAATTGTGCTCCTACCTGGAGGTTGGTGGCAATTCCCTGTCTGTGTGGAAACTGAGAAGCAGAGCCTGGGCAGGAAGCGGGGTGGACAGCATCCTGGTGGTGCCAGCAAGGAAACTGGCTTGAAGCGGGCTGGAGTTTGAGTCTGGCGGTGTTTGAATCCTGCCGTCAGGCTTGATTAACCTGGACCTTTCTTTCTTCCCTGTCTTCCAAGCCCAGACAGAGTGGGCTTCATGCAGGCCTGTGAGAGCGCCTATTCCAGCTGGAAGTTCTCGGGGGGCTTCCGCACCTGGGTCAAGATGTCCCTGGTGAAGACCAAGGAGGAGGATGGGCGGGAGGCCGTGGAGTTCCGGCAGGAGGTAGGTGGTGCTGGGCTCACTTGGCTCCTCTGCAGGGACTTGTGCCCTTGAGTCTGGGTGGACAGGGAGCTCCCCAGAGGATATGATCTTCGTGCAAGTAGACTGTTGCTGGGATGGGAGGCGACTGCGTGCGGGAGCTCACGGGTTCTCTGGCAGAGTGTGTTCCAGGCCCTTCCCCTCTGTCCCCGCAGTCCCCGCGGGACACCCGCGTCAGCAGAGACCTGTTGGCAGAGTGGGTGCCTTGTGCAGCTGGGCCTGACACCAGAGCCCAGGTTCTAAGTCCTGCAGCCTGGCTCCGAGAGGCTGTGAGGTCAGCTTTCTGCAAGGGAGAGACTGGCGGGTCGTGTGCATGGTGATCTGTGGAGACCCCGGAGGGAGACTGGTTTTCTTCCTGTATTAATTTTTTTTATCTCATCCTTTTTCTACTTCTGAATGTTTTAAAATGCATGTTAACAGAAGTAATCATATTGTTACATCACTTCTAAGAAAGTCATAAATTTTTTTGATGAAATTTTTTTACTAATGGGGAGTGCTATCAGGAACCTTGTCAGCCCAAAGGCTAGGAGCCAGGTCAGGAGTTTCCAGCCGTGATCCCAGTGAGGGATGGAGAGGACCTCGGTAAAGGGCCTGGCAGAGTGGATGCGAGGGGGTGGGCGTTCGGCTGCCCTGGAAGGGCTGTTAGCACCAAAAGCAAAACCACACCCCTGCCTGGGACTTCCACCTCCCCGTGCCACCGGGAGGCCTGCAGAGCAGCCTCTGCTCCTCTGTGCCACGTCCACTTGTGTTGGACCCAGAGGGGCCGCACTAGGAAAGGGCTGGGTTGGAGTAGAAGGACGTGCTGCAGCCGACGGGGCGTCCTCAGCCATGTGCTCATCCGGGCGTCTCCTTCCACACCCTGGTTCCTAGGATCATTCCAGACTGGAGACTGTGGGAATGGCTTAAAGCCAGCTTTCGTCAAGAGGACAAGGCTTCTCCCGCCTTAGGAGGTGGCAAGCTCCTGGCGATATCCTTAAAATACTCCTATTTTGTAAGATAACTGTCATCTCGTAGTTTTTTACTCCACACTTTTCTCTAGGAACTCATCATGCACAGGACCCGCCAGAGGCCACGCTATCTAGTCTCTCCCTTGCAAAAAGCTGACCTCCCAGCATCTCGGAGCCAGGCTGCAGGCCTTTCTCCTCTGTCCTCCTAACAGCTGAGAAAGGAGCTCAGTAAGGGGTCAGCCCTGGCTCTCCTGGTAGCTCCAGCCGTGATCTGAACCCCAGTGAACCTATATGCACCTTTCACTACTTTCTAAATTGGAAGTCTTTTGGTAGGGACGTGAACTCTTTTGAAGAAAGTTTGAAATTGTTTTTGTCTTTTAAAGTTTAAAATACTTCCATATTTCATTCGAACTTCCCCACACCTCAGCGAGGGGAGGCATTTTGTCCTGTTTCACAAGTGGCCAAGTGGAGGCCGAGGTCAGCTGGCGGAGCCGGCTGTCTGGGAGGGCCAGGCCCCTGCCCCCGAACTGGTCTGCTCTCCAGTAGGCACGCCACGCCTCCAGTCGCTGATGAGCAGATCTCACCAAGCGTGCCTATTGAATATTTAGGGCATGCGTGGCTGGGGGGTCTGAGGTAGTCCTTTGTCCCCTGTACACTTGAAGGGTTGACACACTCAGCTCTTAAGATCAAGTATTTCGGAACTGGGGATTTTTATGGCTTTTAAATGTGAGTCTGGCACAGTACTCTGAATATGGTTTAATGATGAATACAGATACCTAATGACAGATTTCAGTGCCAATCCACAGCACCTATTAGACATCCCAGGTCCTGTGCGTTTCCTTAAAGAACCGTGCAAACCAGAGTAAGTCTTAGCCCTGCTACCAGTTTCAGGATGTTAGGTATGTGAGATTTTTGGCTCTCTCCTCCAAACAGTGGTGTGTGGAGGGCCAAGGTCTGAGACCCCCTAACTACCCTGCCCTTCTCCGTGGCACAAGCAAGGGAGGGGCACAGAGGCGGTTACACGGCTTTCTCTCTGTCTCTAGACCAGTGTGGTGAACTATATTGACCAGAGGCCCGCCGCTGAAAAAGGCGCTCAGTTGTTTTTCGTGGTCTTTGAATGGAAAGATCCTTTCATCCAGAAGGTCCAAGATGTGAGTATTATTTACCATTATAATAGCGGACTCCCTGCCTTGAGGTGTTTTGGCCCGTCCTTGCAGGCTGTCCTCATCTTCTTTCATACCAAATCAGTCTGTCACTCATGGCATTCCTGTCCTGTGTCATTTGTGCTTAACTGATACTGCCTTCATCACTAAACTGTTGTCCCTGTGAAGGTGGGGACTTTGTCTTGTTCGCCATCACTTACCTGGTGTCTAGGGGAGTCTCAATACACAGTAGCTGCTGAGAAGTATATTAATGGAACCAGAAGCTGTTCTTCTCTAATGGCTCTCTGCAGAGTCTGGTTCCTTATTTGTTGTAAGTCAGAGCAGAAAGGCACCCCCTTCCCCCCACACACACAAAAAATCAACAGAGCATCAGTTACTTCCAAATTCTGTCTTGGAAGGGGAGGAATAAGGGGACAGCTTTGCTTAAATGAACATTCACAGGACACGCTCCCCCAGAGCCGGTTTCAGGTGTGACCCCACGGTGCCCTGAGGTGGCCCTGGCCGAGGGGAAGACACTTCTTGCCCAGAGTCCATCAGGGAGGGTCTCTGTGACTTGGATTGCTCCGTGATCACCCACCACGACTGCTAGTTGTGGATTAGCAAGGCCACGTACAAGAGGGATGTGCAGAGGCTTACTGAGTCAAGACTCTGTGTGGAAGAACAAACACCTGCAGCTCTCCGTGTGAACTGTGTGTTCAGAGGGTTTTGGCTTAGTGGCCAGAGACAGCTCTGAGGACTAGTAAGTCAGGATGGGAGGAAAGCATTGCAGGCAGGGGAAATCAGGGGCGCTGCCTGGAGGTGGGGTCCACAAGGGGAGTATGGAAGGAGACAGTCACTGGACTGATTAGGAGAAGCAGCTTGAGTAACTAAGATGGGAAGAAAAGAAGAGCTGACCTTCCTATGAACTGGGTGTAAGGGGACATTTGTCTCAAAGCAAGGCCACTTGCAGATTAGGTCAACAATTTAAAGACCAGTAGTGCGTGAGTACGTTCCTTGTGCAGAGCTCTTTTTTATTAAAGTATAGTGAACATACAGTATTATATTAGTTTCAGGTGTACAACATAGTGAATTGAGTTATATACATTATTAAATACTCACCATGGTAGGTATAGTTACCATCTGTCACTGTACAGTTATTGCAATATTATTGACTATATTCCTTGTGCTGTATTTTACATCTGAGACTTACTTATTTTATAACTGGAAGTTTGTGTCTCTTTATCTCCTTCACCTATTTCATCCATCCCCGTCCCTCTTCCCTTCCCCCTTCTGGTAACCAATAGTCTGTTCTCTGTTTTTGAGTCTGTTTTGCTTGTTGTTTGTTTTGTCTTTTAGATTCCACTTACAAGTGAAATTGTATGGAATTTGTCTTTCTCTGCCTGGCTTATTAGCATATACCCTCTAGGTCCATCCCTGTTGGTGCAAATGGCAAGATTTTATTCTTTTTTATGGCTGAGTAATATTCTATTGTAAATCTCTACCACCTCATCTCCATCCGTTCATCTATCAGTAGACACTTTTTTGCTTCCATATCTTGGTTATTGTGGATAATTCTGCAGTAAACATAGGGATACACGTATCTTTTCAAGTTAGTGATTTTGTTCCCTTCAGGTAAATACCCAGAAGGGGAATTACTGGGTCATATGGTTTTTCTATTTTTAGTTTTTTGAGGCACCTCCATAGTGTCTGAACAATTTACATTCCCACCAGCAGTGTGGGAGGCTCCCTTTTCTCTACATCCTTGCCAACATGTCATTCCTTGCCTTTTGGATACCAGCCATTCTGGCTGGTGTGAAGTGATACTGCGTCACGGTTTGGATTTGCATTTGCCTGATGATCAGTAATGTTGAACATCTTTTCATGTGCCTGTCGGCCATCATATGGCTCCTTTGGAAAAATGTTCAGGTCCTCTGTCCATTTTCTAATCAGATTATTTTTCTTTTTGGTGTTGCTTTATATGAGTTCTTCATATATATATATTGCGTAGTAGTCCCTTATCAGATTTATCATTTGCAAATATCTTGTTCCACTCAGTAGGTTGGCTTTTCGTTTTCTTGATAGTTTCCTTTGCAGAAGCTTTTTGATGTAGTTCCAATTGTTTATTTTTTGCGTTCACTTCCTGTCCCTGGGGAGACAGATCCAAAAATATATTGCTGAGGCCAGTGTCCAAGAGATTACTGCCTATGTTTTCTTTTAGTTTTGTTTTCAGGTCATACACTTAAGTCTTTAATCCATTTTGAGTTTATTTTTGTGTGTAAGACAGTGGTCCAGTTTCATTCTTTTGCATCCACCTCTTTTCCCAGTACCATTTATTAAAGAGTCTTTTCCCCATTGTATATTCTTGCCTCCTTGGTCATATATCAGTTGACCATGTAAGTGTGGGTTTATTTGTAGGCTGTCTGTTCTGCTCCATTCATCTATGTGCCTGTTCTTGTGCCAATATCATATTGTTTTGATTACTGTAGTTCTGTAGTATAGCTTGAAATCAGGAAGGGTGATGCCCCCAGTTTTGTTCTTCTTTCTCAGGATTGCTTTGGTTATTTGAGAGTCTTTTATGGTTCCATGTATGTTTTAAATTATTATGTGCAGTTTTGAAAAACAATTTTTTCTTTCAGGATCACCTTATTGTAGAGAGGGATTAGTGTTTTTTTCCTTGGACTGAGCTGCAGATATTGCAGGTATATTCTGAACAAAGTATAGAGCTATGACAATTTTACAAACCAGGTGATTTTCTTAATGGCCCCAATAATTTGGGTGAGAGTGCTTGAAAATACACTCATATGACCTAAGACTCAAAACTGAAGCAAACTAATAAACTTGTGTTTGTTTGTTTCACAGATAATCACTGCCAATCCTTGGAACACAATTGCTCTTCTTTGTGGGGCCTTCTTGGCATTATTTAAAGCAGCAGAGTTTGCCAAACTGAGTGTGAAATGGATGATCAAAATTCGAAAGAGACACCTTAAAAAAAGAGGTCAGGCAATGAACCACATAAGCTGAAGTCACCCTGTGTTGTTCATAGGCCTGCCCACGTTAATGGAAGTTCTCTTCACTTCCACTCTGATAAACTTGAGCTCCTATCAATCCTCTGCTCACTTGAAGAAATGGGCCTTACTGGGAGGAACAGCCTGTCAAACTGCAGCTTCTAACCTGGCCCAAAAAGAGGCTGTTGAGAGCCTAATGGAACAGATCCAATGGATTCCCTAAAGGTTATTTAAGAATGTAAATTATTAATGAACATTTCTTGACATATGACATATGAACAGGGTTTATGAAGATGGAATTAGATCTCAAGTTTTCTGATGGTTTGTTGGAACAGCCTTTCTTCTTCTTTGGTTTGGTGCATAGTTAAGCTCGAACAGAATAATTAAGGCTCTACTTTTTTAAGTTTCTTTTCTCTACAATTTTTAAAGTGGACAGAAGAGAGTGATTTTCTTTCTCCCTAAATCCTATCAGATGTGTAGGTAACACTTTGAAACCCAGGCACTGTACACCAAGAAAGGTAAAAACCCTTGTCTCTGGCCATCGTCTGCCATTTACGTTGGCCAGCCTCTGACATGCTCTCATTTGTTGAATATTAAGTGAGACTTAAAAAAAAATACTAGAAACTAGTAATTCGATTTCTGGTGGACCAAATAGCCAGCTACCTATCTGGCTGGAGTATTTGTTGATGCAAGGAAAGAGTTAAGTGAATAATACACAAAAGCACTAGGGCAGATGTACACAGTAGGTCCTACTCAGAGTATTTTGATGATTTCATTAACAGGTAAATAAAAGTTAGGTTAATATAAAAAGAATCAGTATGCCAATATGAGTCCCTGCTAACTCAGTACGGCACCAGTAAACTTTCATTCTGTGACCTTCAAGTAAAAGGCAGCGTAAGCCTGGACTCCTGAGATGGCGGATCTGGACTCCTGAGGTACGTCATGACTGCGTCCCGGGAAGGGCAGGCTGGCCTGGTGACTGATGGTGGGTGGTCTGGAGGAGAGATGGATCAAGCCCCAGCCCAAAAAGAGGCTGTTGAGAGCCTAATGGAACAGATCCAATGGATTCCCTAAAGGTTATTTAAGAATGTAAATTATTAATGAACATTTCTTGACATATGACATATGAACAGGGTTTATGAAGATGGAATTAGATCTCAAGTTTTCTGATGGTTTGTTGGAACAGCCTTTCTTCTTCTTTGGTTTGGTGCATAGTTAAGCTCGAACAGAATAATTAAGGCTCTACTTTTTTAAGTTTCTTTTCTCTACAATTTTTAAAGTGGACAGAAGAGAGTGATTTTCTTTCTCCCTAAATCCTATCAGATGTGTAGGTAACACTTTGAAACCCAGGCACTGTACACCAAGAAAGGTAAAAACCCTTGTCTCTGGCCATCGTCTGCCATTTACGTTGGCCAGCCTCTGACATGCTCTCATTTGTTGAATATTAAGTGAGACTTAAAAGAAAATACTAGAAACTAGTAATTCGATTTCTGGTGGACCAAATAGCCAGCTACCTATCTGGCTGGAGTATTTGTTGATGCAAGGAAAGAGTTAAGTGAATAATACACAAAAGCACTAGGGCAGATGTACACAGTAGGTCCTACTCAGAGTATTTTGATGATTTCATTAACAGGTAAATAAAAGTTAGGTTAATATAAAAAGAATCAGTATGCCAATATGAGTCCCTGCTAACTCAGTACGGCACCAGTAAACTTTCATTCTGTGACCTTCAAGTAAAAGGCAGCGTAAGCCTGGACTCCTGAGATGGCGGATCTGGACTCCTGAGGTACGTCATGACTGCGTCCCGGGAAGGGCAGGCTGGCCTGGTGACTGATGGTGGGTGGTCTGGAGGAGAGATGGATCAAGCCCCCTTCCTGACCTGTAGAACTCTCTGAGATGAGCGCTCACTATGACCTTGCTCAAAGCTTGCAGCCCCGTGTTTGGGATGAATATCATCTGCATATTTTTCATAGTAGACATTAGCTGATTCAAGATTATGAAAACCGTTTCCAGAGTTCTAAATTATTTATATGCCCTCTGCATCCAAAGCTGACTTTGTAGCATTTCCTGAATTTCATAACCTGACTTCAGGTAATTCAAAGAAAAAAAATTCAATTAAGTGGGCATTTTTATCTCATATCTAACTTAGAAACTGTGTTTTTTTTGGTTGAATTATTAAAAGTGAACCTGTGTAAACAAATATCCCTTGCAACTTTTCTGTGCTACAGTAGGATACAAACTCAAACCTAAGTCTGGGTCTCATCTCTATAAAATCTTACTGTAAGCCCAGTGCAAAGCCAAGCATCGAAGCTTCCATTCACAGGACTGAAAAAAAAGAGGTGTGTGTTTTTTTAAAGCATCCCTAAAGATGACCCACCACTCTAAACTTTAATAACCTAATAAAATTTGCTCCAAAGATCATAAAATTGCATTTCCTATATGTGCAAAGTTGAGAGTGCTAAAATGTACCTCAGAATAAGTAGATAATTAGGAAGTGAGTGGTTTTAGCTTATCAGAGGGAAAAAAACTTAATTATTCACTGTAGCCAGGCAACATTTGCTCTGGCTGCTCTTCAGTAAGACATACATGCCTAAACCTTCCACAGAATAGACATTTAGAGCTAACCTTCACTTTCTAGAAAGGCAGGGTTTGCCTTTCATCCTGGGTTCTGTACTGGGATCTTCCTTTTCTTCTACCTGTGCTGCCCACAGTGGTCAGTAACACTGGCTGGCTTTGGGTTGGCGGGGGGATCCTGGCAAGGACACATCAATCTGGATGGCTAGGACAAGGTGGCTATTGAGAACACTAAAATATGAGCAAGTACCAAAGGGACGTTTGTCCTGAGGCTGCAGTGAGCAGGAGTTGCTTTTACAGTGACCTAGGAATAGTGTGCAGAGCCCTGCTAGAGTCTTTCATGTATGCGAAAGAGTCAGAACATAATAGCAGAAAACTTTATAATAATGTCTGACTTCTGACTCTGTCACAATGTCCCTGCCCCCCACAAAAAACGGTGGTATTATTATAGATTCTGAGATTTATCCTCCTTGTCTATTTTAATGAAAACTAACCATTTAAATGAAAAAAAATAAGATTTATCCTCCTTGTCTATTTTAATGAAAACTAACCATTTAATGAAAAAAAACCATTTAAGGATGGATACATGAAGAAAGATGGAAGGATATTCTAGAACTTAGAATTTTATGTGGATAGTCTGTAAAACATACTTTGCTAAATGGTTGTAACACTCAGACACAATCATCCTGTTTTCATGCCCCAATATTTGCCTTAAAGTCTTCAATATCTATACATATGTATTTATGAATGCATGTATGCGTATAATAAAGAGGAACAGGCTGCTCTGGATGCCTAAACTAAGCTGAAAAAAGGCAAAGACAACATAAGGTAAAATACAAACATAGACTTTATTAAATGCTGCTCAATCCCCCAATGAAGATCTTTCATTACAAAACAGTTTTCCACACAACTGTAAGTTAAGAGATTGGAATGGTACTCTGATAACAAAAGATGTGAGAAATACTAGACCAAGTAAAAACATGTAAGACCTCTCTATAGTCAGCTTTTTCAGAACTCTACAGAGGAAGCCTACTGCACTTCCTTTAGATAGAGCCAGGCAGTGACAGTGAGGGCTCTGCGTCGCCACATTGTGGGGCCCAGAGCCTCCATCCCGGGTCCGGAGGAAGGGCAGCTTGTGAGGGCTGGAAGGGCCCTGCCTTCAGCCTTGGGAGACAGGAGGAATGGCCGGGAGGCAGGCGGGGCGCTCACCTGCGCCGCCTCCACTGCTGTGTGCTCAGCACTCGAGAGTTGCAGACGAAGGGGATATTCTTGAGGAACAACCTGAAAAATCTGGTTTACTGTCCCAGCTTTTATATATTTTTTGTGCTTTAAAAAGCCTGGAGATTTTAAGTTTTTGCTCAAATCCCAGAGTATAGTAATACCTCTAATGCGGGCAGCCTTAGGGCAGATGGTTCCCCTGTCATATTTCTGGGAAAAGCTAAGGGAAGGGAAGGACTATACCTTAGTTTTATTTAGGAAATACTCTTTTCCTAGGACGTAACTAAGGTCTGCAGCAATGTGAAAAGCACATAGTAAAAGGGAAAAATATACAGAGCAGACAACTATATCTATGTGCAACACAATCAAACAATGAATTCAAGTCATAATTCTTACCACTCCCATAATTATCTCTCATATCATAGATGATAAAGTTCATTTATGTGAAACTTCAGAAGTGACACAAATGAATGATTAGAGAAAGGTTACAATATACTGTTGCCATGATAGAGCATAGGGCTATGTTTAGTCCATATATTCTTTCATTTACAATTGCCAGAAAAAAATTGGCCTTTTAATTATATTATACTGATGAGGTTTGTTTTGTAATTTTTACATTATTTCAAAAAAGTGTACAAACTGCCTATCCAACAGAGGTCATAGGCTTTTCTTCTTTATTCATCACTTATATTGCTCAGAATACTGTGCATGTTGTAAGCACTGTTGTGCTTTTCCAGAGCTTTCTTTAGCTTTAGCTCCTCCAATTTTTTCCATAATTCTTCACGTTCCAATTCCTTCTTTTTCTCTCTATGGATAAATCAATTTTTGTAGTCAGAAACTTCTTTTTAGAACCTGAAGAAACACGCTGACTGGCAGTTGGTGAGAACACACTGTTCACACACATTTCACTTAAATCCCTCTACTAACCTCCGAGGCTCATTACCTGATGACCCCTTGTCACTCTCCTCAGTGTCATTCCTACACTGTGCTTCCTGGCGAACTGCAAGTTGCTACTTGCTTTCCCCTGCATGTCGTCACTACCGCCGCTATGACCACTCCATTTTCTGAGCTTTACAGCTGACAAAGCACTTTTGCAGTAAGTCACATAAACCTCCTCCTGCGGTCGCTGCAGGCTCACTGGCAGTCTTACGTACAGGAGAACTGACGGGTTGGCCCGTGGTCAGTCTGGAGCCATTTCCAGTTGGAATGAATGAACCCTCATCTTTTCACATAATCTCTAGCTCCTAACCAGTCTGTGTCGTACTACTTCTTGTCCCTTACATGTCAAATGAAAACTTTAAAGTGAATGACATCTAAAAACAGCAAAACAAAATATTTTACATGTTTCAACTCAAAGGAAAATATTTCTAAGTAACGTGGACCAAGCTATTCTGAAGGGCAGTGTAAACATGTGAACAACCATGGGCTTACAGTTCTGCAGTTAAGGGGACATAGGTGCTGATTTATGCAGACAGCAAGATACAAGGAAAACCCTTAGTCATGTGAAATACATATTTTTCAAATATAAGTTTCATATGATTGTAGCCTTCTCTCCTTTTTTCCCACTGGTTCCTGGGTCTTAAACTATGTGTTTAGTTTCTATTCCTGCCTGAAAGGTGGAATTTAAAAGAAAGAATGTGTTGAGTTAGTTACTGATGGCCCATATGGCTTTGTGTAAGAGCTATCCTTTCTCTACTTGCTACGAGAAAGCCACAGTTAGAACTCAGTCAAAAAACAGATCAGCTTTTCCAGGTTAGGTAACATGTTTTAGATTTAAATGGTAGCTCTTACCTCAAGTGACAGGTGAGCTCAGGTATAATTACTGGCCACCTACAGCTTGAATTAAGTATATAGGAAGGAAGCGATTTTTAGATTATTCTACAGAATAATTTATGAAATTCTCGAAGAGGTAATCACTAAGCTGAATTCCTAAATGCTGACGTGGGCTATCATTTATTTTCTGAAATAATGAAATACTTAAAACACAATAGTACTAAACCAGAGGTATATCATGTAAATTCCCTTCCCAAAAGACAGCTATGCTGACTTTAATATACCACCTTGTTAAAATATGCAGCTTAAAACTATCAAACTACTGAGCAAGGAAGTTGAAGAGTAAAGCTCACTATGGAAGCCATGTGGACAAAAATGATTTCATAAATACAAGAAATCAAATTGTACAAAATTGTTGAAGTCTAAGGCTCAGAATAAGATCAACAGG